AAACCCGAAACCCTAAACACAACCCCGAAACCCTAAACACAAACCCGAAACCCTAAACACTTTTTTTCCTCGTATTCTTCAATCCTTCCACTACCATGGATATTGTTTCCAAAACCACCGACTCCACTTCCTCATCCCCCCAAATTGTTACTATTCAGAGTGACAATGCTCTGTTTCCTACCGGTATCACCTTGACAGAGACCAATTATGCCTTATGGTCTCAAGTCATGGAGTTACGTATTGCTAGCCGCGAAAAATTGGGGTACCTCACCGGCGACACTCCGCGACCCTCTAAGCTCTCTTGCACTTTCAGCCAATGGTGTACGGAGAACTTTCGGGTCACAGGGTGGCTCATCGACTCCATGTCTCCAGACTTGATGGGTCGGTTCATCCGTTTTAGTACCGCCAAAGAAATCTGGGATGCCGTGAAGAAAACCTACTTTGATGGGGGGGATGAAACTTTCCTGTTTGATCTCAACAAACGGGCGTTCACCATTAAACATAATGGTACTCCTGTCCACAAATACTACAGCCAGCTGCAGACCATCTTTCAGGATATTGATCATCGCACTCCGAATCGCATGCACTGTGACGCCGACGTCGCTGAGGGCCAAACTTAACTGGATCGTCTTCGTGTTCACCTTTTCCTTGCCGGGCTCGATCCTTAGTTTGATCAAGTCAGGGGGGAGATCCTGCGCAAAGATCCCAAATTAGACCTTGACCAAACTTTTGCATATGTACGTCGCGAAGCTCAACAACGCCTGACCATGGCCAGTACTCCAGATACTGCGGTTCTGGCCACTCAACGTCCGAGGGGCCCTCCGCCCTCTACCGGTGGCGCTTCTCAGACTCAGACCACAAGCTCTCGTCCGGAGACCAAATGCACTCATTGTGGTGGGAGCAAACATATTCGTGCTCACTGCTATGAACTAATTGGGTACCCGGTGTTGTGAATTGAGAACAAACTCAACTTACCCTCCCCTAATGATCTTGTTGTTGATGGACTTTGTGACAAACACAATTATGGATGAATCACACACACTACACTTGAGAAACCAACCGAGCACAAAATGACACAAGAATTTATAGAGGTTCAGCAATTGCCTACATCCTCTTGGTGATCCCCTTGAGAAATTCACCTTACATCATAATCTCTTGTCTGTTGCCCAAATTACTACGGCTTTGAATTGCACTGTAACCTTTTGGCCTACTCATTGTGTTTTTCAGGACATTCTCAGCAGCAAGACGATTGGTTGTGGTACTAGGAGGGGCAAACTCTATTATTTGGACCTGGCATCTGACAGTGAAGCCAGCCTCAGTCAAGCTTACAAAATTGGGGGGACGAGTGTTGAGAAGCAAACTTCCGAAGTATGGTTATGGCATCGCCGTCTTGGACATGCTTCATTTGGATATTTACAGAAGCTATTTCCTTCCTTATTTTCCAATTTAGAGAGTTCTAGTTTTAAGTGTGACATTTGTGAACTGGCCAAGAGCCATCGTGTTCCCTTTCCCTTAAGTTCCAATAAAAGTTTAATTCCTTTTTCCCTTGTTCATTCTGATGTTTGGGGCCCTTCTAAAATTACCACTCCCGGGGGAGCTAGATGGTTTGTCACGTTTATTGATGATTGCACACGCATGACCTGGGTTTTCCTTCTCAAAATAAAAGGGGAAGTCAGTTCCAAGTTTCAACAGTTTTATCACATGGTGGAGACACAATTTCATATCTGAATTCAGGTTCTTCGGTCTAACAATGGTGGGGAATTTCTCAACCATGATCTTAATGAGTTCTTCGAAGATCACGTTATCATCCATCAACGTTCATGCCCTTCCACTCCTCAACAGAATGGTGTGGCTGAACGAAAGAATAGACACTTACTGGAAGTAGTTCGTGCCTCCCTCTTTGGTGCAAATATGCCTCGGTCCTTTTGGGGCGAGGCCATACTCTCTGCAGCATATTTTATCAATCGGATTCACTCTAGTATCCTCCAATTCTGAAGCCCCCTTCAAACACTCCAACACCATAGCCAAATACCTCCCACCCAAAACCTGGAACCCCGCATATTTGGTTGTGTGGTCTTTGTCCACTTACATAATCACCAACGCAGCAAATTTGATCCATGTGCCGACAAGTGTGTGTTCATTGGTTATGCACCTCATCAGAAAGGTTACCGGTGTTATCATCCCCCAATTCAGAAAGTCTATACTTCTATGGATGTTGCGTTCCGGGAACAAGAGAGCTATTTTTCATATGCACAGGAGGACCCTTCTCAAATTTCCGAATTTTTTCCTTCATAAGTTTTTCCAAATTTGTTCCACACTCAGAACGACCGGTCGCAGACCTCTAGCGACCGGTCTCCAGATGAAACCAACCGGTCGCCCGATGCAAACGACCGGTCGCCAAGGACTCTGCCTGAAAGCGACCAGTCGCCACGCACGCCAACAACTTTGCCTGAAAGCTACCGGTCGCCTGACCCTCACGACCGGTCACTCCCCCCATTTTTTTCTGACATAGTTCCGCTTCAGTCCGATCCCAGCCATCACACTCAGGAGGAGAGAATTGAAGAGTTTGTGCCTGCTCCGGAGAATTCTTCAGCTCCAGTAACACACCAATCACCTGCTGAGGACTTCATTCGGGTAACTTCTCTACTTGAAACTGATAACATTAATGAAATAACTGATTGCATTTCAGAAGGCGCAGAGCCTACATATCAGATTCCAAAAAGGAAGAATCGTGGTAAACCTCCAATTCACTACGAAGCAGATCTTAATGCAAAGGGGAAATATCCCACCAACAATTATGTATCCCTCACCAGATTATCAGAGTCACGGGTACACTTTGTGAAGCAGTTAGCCGACATACATGTTCCCAACAGTGTAACTGAAGCACTAGAAGACCCAAAATGAAAAGAAGCCATGAATGAAGAAATGCGAGCTCTCCAGAAGAATGGTACATGGGAACTCGTGCCATTACCTCATGGAAAGAAAACAGTGGGATGCAGGTGGATCTATACTATGAAACTCAAGGCAAATGGATCCATTGAATGATATAAAGCTGGATTGGTGACAAAGGGATACACACAGAGATATGGGATAGACTACCAAGAAACCTTTGCCCCTCACGACCAGTCGCCTGAAAGTCATTGTATGGGTTAAAGCAGTCTCCCAGGGCATGGTTTGGTAGATTCACTAAATCCATGAAGAATTTTGGATATACAGAGAGTAATTCGGATCACACTTTGTTCTTGAAGCGTGATGGAAAGAAGCTTACCGCACTTATTGTTTATTTGGATGACATAGTTGTGACTGGAAACGACACAGGAGAGAAATTGAAACTGCAGAAGTATTTGTCTCAGGAATTTGAGATGAAGGATTTAGGTAATCTGAAGTACTTTCTTGGAATTGAAGTAGCAAGGTCTGCAAATGGTATATTTCTGTCACAGAGGAAGTATGTATTGGATCTACTCGCTGAAACAGGATTGCTTGGATGTAAGCCTGCTGACACACCAATCGAGATGAATCACAAGTTGTGTGAAGGTATGGATCAAGAACCAACCAATAAGGAACAATACCAACGCCTTGGTTGAAGGTTAATACATTTAGCCCACACAAGACCAGATATTGCATATGCTATGAGTGTGGTTAGTCAGTTTATGCATTCACCCAGTGTGTCTCATAGGAATGCAGTTGATCGAATATTAAGGTACTTAAAGTTAGCTCCTGGAAAAGGATTAATGTTCTCAAAAAATAGAGATCTTGAAGTTGTGGGATATACAGATGCTGATTGGGCTGGCTCCATTACTGACAAACGCTATCCTTCAGGTTACTTTACCTTCGTGGGAGGTAATCTAGTCACTTGGCGGAGTAAAAAATAAAATGTGGTTTCTCGGTCTATAGCAGAAGCAGAGTATCGAGGAATGGCTCATGGAGTTTGTGAATTGCTATGGATCAGAAGACTCTTGACAGAATTGGGTTTCAAGCCAGAAAAGCCAATGGAGTTGCATTGTGACAACAAGTCAGCTATTGATATTGCCCATAATCCAGCTCAACATGATCGAACCAAACATGTTGAGGTGGATAGACATTTTATCAAAGAAAAAATTGAGAAAAAGATCATCTGCCTACCATTCGTAAAATCAGAAGATCAACTAGCTGATATTTTAACCAAAGCTGTTTGTAGCAGAGTGTTTTATGACTCACTTACCAAGTTGGGCATTGGTGACGTATATGCACAAACTTGAGGAGGAGTGTTGACGTGAGTCTCCTAATTAATCAAGGAGATTTATTTCCTTGATTAATTAAGGGATTTACTTTCCCATTCCGTTTAGTTGACAAATCTGTGTATAATTAGGAGATACTTTCCTAATTCCTTATTGTATCTCATTCCTTGTAAAACACTCTGTAAACTCATATTTATACCTCCTTATGGAGAAGAATAAATCATCTGAACATATTCAAACCCGTATTCATATTTTAGCAGAAACTAGCTACATTGGCATATATATGGTTTTTATCAAGGTCTAAAATATCGGTGATATCGGAAATATCGGTAGGCCAAAAACACGGAAATTTCGATGGAAATATCGGGATATTATCGATATCGATAAAAATTGAATAAAAACCACGGAAATTGTAAGAAAAACTTGGAAATTTTTATTGAAACTTTGCAGGATGTTTATTTAGTCAATTATCTATTAGTTTATCATAAAAAATTGGAAGGAAATGCATTGCATGATGGATTTAACTGATTTAAGTTAATTATATAGCGAGCTGGTAAACACTGTGAGTGTAGAAAATATGTAGTAATTAATGAAAAAAGATTAAACACACCATAATCAAAAGTAGAAACTTGAAAAGGAATGGTCAAAAGAATTCAAAACAATTTGTTTCTTGCAAAAAAAAACCAAAACAAAACCATGTATATATATATAAATATTTTAGCATATTTTCACAAAAACATAAGTAATATGGTGGTTAAGGTGTTGAATGAGTAAAATGGGAGGGGTTTGAAAACCCTTGGTGTCTTTTTTAATATAGAAATTTATCCTATATAATAAATATTAGCTTACATTCATGCATAATAATCAATCCCTAAATCTAAAATATTTATTCAATATCAAAACAAAAACGCAATTCAGTTCATATATTAGGGTTATACTATAAATAAATAAATAAATTAATATATATATATATATGTTAACATATTAATTTAGGAAGAAAAATGAAAAAACAAAAAGGGTAAGTAGTTGTGTTTCAGTGAAAAAGGTAAGTAGTGGTGTTTCAGTGGGAGGTGTTAAGCACTTGTTTGTTAAAAACAAAAAAATCATGATTTAAAAATAATAAAAAAGGCACACTGAACGTCAGTGCTAAGCGTGCGTTTCATATATGTTTCATTAACTATATGAAACGAAGTCGTTTCATTCCCAACGAACCCTAAAAAAAACACGCGAGGTCATCTTCTTCCTCTCGCAGCTGCTTGCAGAATAGCCGCCCTTCGTCTGCCTCGCCACACGTTGCCA